AGTGGTAGTGGTAGTGGTAGTGGTAGTGGTAGTGGTAGTGGTAGTGGTAGTGGTAGTGGTAGTGGTAGTGGTAGTGGTAGTGGTAGTGGTAGTGGTAGTGGTAGTGGTAGTGGTAGTGGTAGTGGTAGTGGTAGTGGTAGTGGTAGTGGTAGTGGTAGTGGTAGTGGTAGTGGTAGTGGTAGTGGTAGTGGTAGTGGTAGTGGTAGTGGTAGTGGTAGTGGTAGTGGTAGTGGTAGTGGTAGTGGTAGTGGTAGTGGTAGTGGTAGTGGTAGTGGTAGTGGTAGTGGTAGTGGTAGTGGTAGTGGTAGTGGTAGTGGTAGTGGTAGTGGTAGTGGTAGTGGTAGTGGTAGTGGTAGTGGTAGTGGTAGTGGTAGTGGTAGTGGTAGTGGTAGTGGTAGTGGTAGTGGTAGTGGTAGTGGTAGTGGTAGTGGTAGTGGTAGTGGTAGTGGTAGTGGTAGTGGTAGTGGTAGTGGTAGTGGTAGTGGTAGTGGTAGTGGTAGTGGTAGTGGTAGTGGTAGTGGTAGTGGTAGTGGTAGTGGTAGTGGTAGTGGTAGTGGTAGTGGTAGTGGTAGTGGTAGTGGTAGTGGTAGTGGTAGTGGTAGTGGTAGTGGTAGTGGTAGTGGTAGTGGTAGTGGTAGTGGTAGTAGTAGCAGTAGTAGCAGTAGCAGTAGCAGTAGTAGTAGTAGTAGTAGTAGTAGTAGTAGTAGTAGTAGTAGTAGTAGTAGTAGTAATAGAGTTGTGGTTGTTGTTGTTATTGTAGATGTAGTAGTAGCAGCAGCGACAGCAGCGTTGGTAGGAAAATGAGAAATATCGTATATGAAAAAATACTTTTCGTACATTTAATTTGACGGACATTTAGACCATTTTTAGACTTGCCTTTGAGTTTGTACTCAAACGTAGAGGCAATACTGAGGACTATGTAGATATTCCTAGACACTGCAGAAAAAAAAGATTTATTAAGTACGAACAAAAAGGATAATGATAATTAGGTTAGTCATTACAATTTGTGAAGTTCCGTTCTATAAGCTTTTCGATGACATTATTAATAAAAAATGTCATACCTGACCTCAGCAGAGGAGAATACTGGACCTTGATTGAGTACTTTTTTCTGGTGTATGGGTCTGTAAATTCAGACGTTACTGAGGAAGTAAAGTGAACGACTCGAAGTAATCGTCTGAAATTCAGTCTATTTGTAACTATACTTAGATAAAGAAAGACTGGGACGTACAAGTTCATTATTCTGGGCATGTTTCGATACCTCAATCCTTTCCCATTTCTACTGTTCGCACGACAAGCTAAACTCCTCAAGGACCCAGTGTGACCTGACAAACAACGAAATCCTTTATATTTTGCAAAATCACCCATGGGAAAGAAAGTCAGTCAAGTCAAGTCCGCATTTAAATGGTATTTATTTTGTTGAGTGTTGATGGCGTGAAGCTTTGTTTTCTTTGTGTTCAAATGAAAGCATTTTCTGACAGGGAAACGTCCATTTTAATACAGTGAAAACCCAAGAGTAAGGACAGTTAGGCCTCTTTGCCTACAACGCATTTTTCACTTCAGAAAATATGAACTTATTAAAGAACCCCAAAAGCATAAATTGGTGGTAATTACAATTACAGCTGATTCGGGACCTGCGTTGTCAAAAATGTTTCAGGATTTTGGGTTCTTCTTCGACGTCGATCAAATCGTTACTATCCAATCTTTGCTTGTCAAATACAGGCAGTAATAGCGAGAAGGAGCTGCAAAATTAAGTGTTAGCGGGAACGAACCGATTCGTTTTTACCCTCCCATATTCATCTTTCTTCTAGATTTGGTAGTTCTATAGGAACAATTTCACCTTGGGAATCTAAATTTGCCATGTTTCGGCAAGAAGGTAAGAAGGCAAAGAAAACTTGAGAGTGTAAACACGCGAACTCTGAAGTTCAAAAGCAACGAACCTTGAAACGCATCTTCATTCTATGCTTCATTCCTTTCAGATGAACTCAACATATTGGCCTGCTTCAAGAGAGGATAAAGGGGACAGAGAAGGCATCCCCCATACACACCCTGTTCCGTAGGCAATTCGTGTCGAGTTATTTTTAGAATCGGAATAAAGTTACCTCGCGCGCTGCGTGGATGTTTCGTGGAGGTTTCTCATGACTAAACGCCTTCCAAAACATGTCGGGCGAAAGGCAATGAACGCGTAAACAGATCGAGAGCATTTCCGAATATTGAAGCGAAATGAGTCGGCGCTCACCTTGGAAAAGGGAATAGCTGGACTCTTTGACAACCCGTGAAATCAGTTTAACTCGAAGTTGTCGTAACCGCCAAGTGTTATTTTTGTTGAATAATAAACGACTAATAAAAAAATAAATATCAAACCAGAAATTTCTCTCTTCAAACTGTAAATTATAAATAATCCTGAGAGAATATTCAGTGTGTTAAGAATTTCGCTGATGTACTGTTAGCTCTATACAAGAGAGGAAGGGCGATTCTTTTTTTCCATTTCGCTGACACTGCTTTAGTAGAAATCTCTCTTTAGTCGTTTTCGTCGACAAAACGAGTAGCAATGTCGCTCTCCGCGTCTTCCGCCATTTTTTCAGCGTCAATTCGTGAAGGACGCGTGGCTCTGAGCGTGGGTCATCCACGTGGAACACATTTGCGCGCTATGTGATTGGCTGTTGTCTAATCCCCTTTGGGATCTGTGGTCTTAAAAATAACTCGAGACGAACTACCTATGGAATAGCGTGTGTATGGGGGATGCCTTCTCTGTCCCTTTTATCCTCTTTTGCCTGCTTTCAATGTACAGGCATGTATGGGTCTTCATAGCTCAAATGGTAGAGCACTGCAGTACTAACGCAGAGGCCATGGGTTTGAATCCCGTTGAAGTCCCGAAATGTTTTCGGGTTAATTTGCAATTGCTTAAATTGCATATACCAATGCGACGATCATATTTAGTAATTAATGAATGACGCTGAGTAGAATATGAAGAATTAAGCAGATCGAGGATAATAGATAATTCCTAGTTTAAAAACATGCTTGCAGGCATCGATGTTAAGTTCATCTTCGATAGTGTACGTTTAGGTTTGTCCAGCTCCGCAAATATTCTCCAGATAGCAGATGTCGCCCTCGGAGTTGTCTTCTTGCTGTTTTTGCCGTGTTTTTAGTTATTATTTCGCCTAGTTCCAGCTGTAGTTCTTACTCTTGAAACGAGTGAAATGTCCGCCATTTTTTTTTCGACAACCAAAACAACTCAACCTCGTCCCAGGTCTTCTCGGTAACGGTGCCTTAACCTGTAGCGGGCTTCATTTTTGACGTCATTTCCTCGTTAAACACAAAATTCTTCCAGATTTGGTCATCAGTAACTGGTTATGGTGAATTATGCGTGTGCCTTTAGCCAATCAGAATTAGAGAAATATTTTGAATGAATAATAACTTCATTTAAATTTTTAACCTTTTGCTATTCGAATTGGTTTATTAATACCTTTGTGTAAAGGATGGTCAAAACAAGGATTGTGACGTCACATTATGTCACAAATCCGCTATTTAACAATTAATGAATGAGGCTGAGTATCTTATGAAGAATAACACCCTCCGAGATCTCCATAATTCTTCATACGATACGAAAGCCGAACTCATTAATTGTTTAATTATTCATTCAAAATAATTCCTAGTTTAAAAATATGGCTAAAACATGCTTACCTCCATCGATCCATCGATGTTAAGTTCATCTTCGATAGTGCACGTTTAGGTTTGTCCAGCTCCGCAAATATACTCCAAATAGCAGATGTCGCCGTTCGAGATGTCTTCTTGCTGTTCTTGCCATGTTTTTAGCTATTTTTTCGCCTAGTTCTTACTCTTGAAACCAGTGAAATGTCTGCCATTTTTGTTTCCAGAATCAAAACAATTCAACCTCGTCCCCAAGTCTTCTCGGTTAACGGTGCCTTAACCTGCACGAACGCTGCATTTTTAACGCCATTTCCTCGTTAAACACAAAATTCTACCAAATTTGGTCATCATTAACTGATTATGGTGAATTAAAGGTCTACTTTTAGCCAATCAGAATCGGGGAATTATTTTGAACGAATAATAATTGAAATTAAAGGCAGCCACCTTGATTTCTGAGTCAGCATGCAGTTACGTTGCTCAGTTAACAAAGACGTCATCTTAAATGCAGCATCTTATGTAAGTGATCCTGCTTAAAATATGCGTTAGTTTACCTGGTTTTGTGTAAGAAAGGTTGGATGGGGGAGAGATGAGGTGGATCATTTTCCATGGATAGTGTCACATAAGGATTGTGATAACGTGACGATATTTATTTTGAGCTAGCCATCTCGTTTTCTTCGGAGCCTTTTAGTTGCCAAATGACATCAAAATAAGTCATTTTAGTTCTTACCAGAACGATTAAATGAGCTAGAGAATATATTGATTGTTCAAAAAATAGGGGAAAATCATAAAACAGACAGTTTGTAACAAGTGAAATTATGCAACCGAGAAACTGGTTTCAAACGTGAATCAGTGCATAGACAAATAATTGATCGAAAGAGACTGGTAATTTTTCTTTAATGCGTTTGTAAGTTTACAATAGTAAAAATAGCGCAGGCAATTTTTCCCAAACCCGTCCTCATAGGGTAGATAGGGTTTATATGTGCGTGCCTAAACAAAGGGATTGGCCTGTTTTTCTAGTAGTCTTAGATGCACTTGTTTCTCTGTAGACAGCTCCACCTTAAGATATTGATTTATAGAAATTAATTAATTGTTCAGTTAAACCCGTTCTCTTCATAAATATGCTATTCATTCTGGAAGCCATTAATCAGAGATTTGCTGACATTTCTAATCCCACGCAGCTGTCTTTTATCAAAGATAATCTTCATGAATTATAAAAACTAGTGAAGTAATTCTAGATAATTAATTCTGAGTATATTTATTCATCGAACATAATCCTTTATCAGTAAGAAACATGTTTTTGCATAGAGATGGATTTTGATTTATCTGAAGTGTGCCGCGTCATTAAAAGTAATCAAAGAGTTAATGAAGAAGTTCCCTAAGGGTGA